GGGAGGGGGGAGGGGGGAGGCACGGGGGAAAATGAGGTGCCGATATTAAGGGCTCAAGTGGAAGGCAAATGTTTTGAGAATGATGATGACAACAAATGTACGTATGTGCTTGACACAATGGATGTATATATGGATTGTGATAAGAACTGTACGAGCCTCCAATAAAATGATTTAAAAAATCCAACAGAAAAAAAAAAGTAGAAAGACCAGAAGTAAAACCATCAGCATATAGACAACTGATCTTCGATAAGGGTTCCAAAGGCATCCAGTGGGAAGCAGATGCCCTTTTTAAAAAGTGCTGCTGGTAACAGTGGATATCCACATGTAGAAAAATAAAACAAGATGTTTACCTCACCCCATGCACAAGAACAAACTCAAGGTGGATCAAAGACCTAGAAGTAAAACCCCCAAACCAACAGGACCATCAAGGAAGGAATCGGGACAAACCTAAAAGCATTGGCCGAGGGAGTTCATAGGCTCACTGCAATAAGGAAGGATACACACAGATGAACTGGAAATCGACAAATGGAATTTATTTAGAATAAAACACCTGTGCGACTTGAAAGACTTCACTAAGAGGGTAACAAGGCAACCCACAGACTGGGAGAGGATTTTTAATATTGACACATCAGACAAATGGCTTATTGTACAACACCCTCATGGCCTGCAAAAACTGGAAAACAGTTAACCCCCTAAGGAAGTGGACAAAATAACTTACAATAATTTTCACTAGAGAGGAGACACATATGGCCAACAAACACATGAGAAAGTGTTCCCGTTCATAAGCCAAAAGAGAAATGCAAATTAAAACAACCTTGGGATACCATCTAACACCCTTGAGGTTAACCCAAAGCAGAAAATCAGAAAGCAACAAATGTTGGAGCGGATGTGGTGAAATAGGAACCCTCCTCCACTGCTGGTGGTCATGTAGATATCTACAGCCACTGTGAGTCCCCTGAGGTAAGTACTATCAGCACAGCAGGTATAGAAGAAGAGACACTTATCTCACAGTATATCGGTGGAAGCATAGGCAGTGGGGGGAGGTCAGACCAAAGAGAAGTACATGTGAATCCAACATGTGTGACCAAGCTGGCTGGGTCATAAGGAAGATCAATTTCCATTTTCTTTAAATATCATCAGATCGCTTTCACATAACAGATAAGCGATTGGAGTAAAGCCGAGCCACAGAACCCCCGAGGAGCCCCAAGAATGGACTTCAGGCGAGGAGGGGCAGCCTCCAGATCTCCCTCAGGACCAAGAGGGAGGGTCTCATGGGGACCAGCAAACAGACCTTGACCTATGTAGACTTTTTTGGTTTTTTCCTTCCTTCTTTCTTTTTTCTTTCCTTTCACCTTTTTCTCTTTCCTTTTCTGTCTTCAACTGTATGTTTTCTGATTATTCAGACTATGACATGGATGGTTTGCCTAATTATATGGGTTGGACCATGGGAGAAAGCCCAGGGAGAAGCCAATGGGGCTAATGTCCCTGGAAGGTAGAAGGGGGAGAAGGAGGTGGGGAGAAGGGTGTGGTGACCGGACAGCTCCAAGGAGAGGGGAAGCACAACCAACATCTAGGAGAGATTAGAGATGTTGTGAGTATTAGAGCAACACCAATCTAGTGGAGAGGAAGCACTAAGAGGTGGAAGAAGGGGAAAGTGATGGCAGGGCAGGAGGAGGCATAAGGAAACAGAAGCAAGCTCTAGGAAGCAAAGGCATAGATAGGGAGATTAACTAAGGGGTGCACTTATGCAAATAGATTAATTCATAAAAATAGTGCTGTTGGCCTATGTACATATATTTGTAAGGCAATACACTGAAGCTGCAGATGGGCCTTGGGCCTCCGCTCATGCCTTCCCATAACACAAGACCATTGTGTTCTAACAAATTGGCATTCTGTGATGCTCACCCTGCCCCCATACATGATCGCTGAAGACAAAATGGGTGCATAAGCAGATGTGGTGAAGACAGAGGATGTTACCCGGCTATTAAAAGATATAGTGTCTGGGGTCTTAAAGGCTTGAAGTTAAACAAGCAGCCATCTACCAGTGAAGCAACAAGCCCACATGTAAGAAGCACATCAGCCAGTGTGATTGTGCGGTGTCATCTAGACTGGGCAATGAGTATCAGAAGATTCACAACAAACAGTAAAAAAAGAAACAAAAAAGCATTGGTAAGAATAGAGGGGGGTTGGAGCGGAGACCTAAAGACCATCTATGGAAAGTGAAACGTGCCCCCACAGATAGGTCCCAGCAAGGGGGTGAGTCAATCAGGGTGCAGTAGAGCACAAATGGGTAAAGCACTATACCTTTGTTCCCTGGAGGCCTCCTCACCCCCACTATCACGACCTCAGTGCTGGCTCCCAATCTAGACTAGACGGGAGCATGAACATAGCTACAGGCAAGAGATAAAACTCAGGACACATGGAACCCAGGAACAGGAATGGGAATAGAGATGCCAAAAGGGTAGCAGGAAGAGGGGGAGGGAAGGGGACACCTATTGCAATGAAGGGCACATAATCACACACCCCCATCCAGAGGGAAGAGCAACAGAAACCAGAGTGGAAGCGAGATAGCAGTCAATGTGAGATTTGAAAATTATAATTTATCAGGCGGCCATGAGGGTTGGGGTTGAGGAGGGAAAGAAAAAAAGAGGTGCTGATCCCAAGGGCTCAATGGGAAGTAAATGTCAAGAAAAGAATTATGGAATATGTGTGTGAATATGTCAGATACAATTGATGTATGGCACGTAGCAAGAGTTGTAAGAGCCCCCAATAAAATGATTTTAAAAATTCATCAATATTATTGAATAACCTCTGGATCTCCAGATATGTGTGTGTGTGTGTGTGTGTGTGTGTTTGAATTTTTAGAAATAAAAAGGTAGACACAAATGAGTAAAGCAACATAACATGTATTTTATTGTGGGGTTCACTCACATTTTCAAGAAAATCTCAATTCCAAAGTGATGTTTTCTTTTTCTGGAACCCTCACCACGGCAAATAAAGATTCAAAGTTTTCAAGATGCGTTAGGAAAAGCCTAACATTCTTACTCTTTTACGTTATGTAATTAATAAGGAATATAGAATATAGCTCATTCAAAAGCTGAAATACTATGCTAAATGAACGTGAGATGAAACAGAATATTCTAATACTATCAAATGATAAAGGACAAACCGAAACATAAAGACCATATTTAATACAATCTACTATAATGCCTTAAGCCCAGCCCTTGCACTACTTGAGTTCTAAATTCTCTTTCGAACCACAAAGTGAATAATCTGCCTGTGACTTTATTATGGGTTGGAGGAGCTGCCTGATGAGGCACTGGCACATGCCCTGGACTTTGTAGCACGACTAGCTTTGGCTGCAACTCGGGCTTTGGCTTGCATTTCCTCCTCTCTCAAGGCCTCCTCATATTGAAGGGGGAAGTCAGTGGGGACTGCACCAGTGACCTTGGCATAAAACTCGAGGGCTTGCATTTTGCTGGTTTCAGCATGGGCCCTGGGGCCCCACTGGAATTCAAAGCGTGGGGGATCACTATTGGGCACCTGCACGTACTCCAGGTACTTTTCCTGAACCATATCTTTCATAAGGAATTTTCTGGGCTCCCCAAAGAAGACGTGCTTCTCCCCATCATACACCCCCAACATATTCAGGTATTCCCACATATCTTCCTCAGTGACCCGTTTGCCATTTATATAGATCAAGGCCAGGAGAGCCAGCAGGAGCCCATTCCTAGGAAACTCCCTGTCATCATCACCATCCAGATTTCTTTCGTCCTCCGTGAGGCAGAGTTTCCGCAGGAGGACATAGGATTGGGTGATGGTGTCCATTTCCTTCAGGACAAGACCAAATACCAGCTCCAGCAGTTCAGTGGTTATATTCATGATCTCAGGGAAGGACTGCTTGTACTTTCTACCAAGAACCTTCATCATTTCCGACTTCATAACGGGCTCTCTCCTTTTAAACTTCTCCAGCAGGTACTGTAAGAGCATACCCGCCTTAATGGATATGAGGTCACTTTTAGTGCTGTCAGTGGCGGGTGGTGCCCCAGATGAACTTGGCCTTCCCTCTTCCTGGCCCTTGGCAGCTCTTGTGAAGGTACCACTTGCGGCAGCTGTGGTGGTGGACTGGGCTCCCACAGGCCCCTGGGACACCAGAACACCAGGAACGCTCTCGGGGGACTCCCCAACAGGAGGTGAGGAGGAGAGGGGAGACTCTTCCTCCTGTGCACCGCGGGTGTCAGCTCGGAGCTGGTGACGTTTCTGACGGGCACGCAGCTTACTCTTATGACCACGAGGCATGATGTCTGTAGTCAAGGGCACCAGGAAGGATTGTGGGTGGGCACGTGACAAGACCCACGGAAGAGGGAGGCTGAGAGAGCTTCGACCTCTGGCAGGCAAGCACAAGCCTCCTGATCTGGTCCGCCCAGTGTCTGAGAAGCCTGTGGGGGAGGAGGGGTGGAAATTAAGTCCAATGTGTCAGGTCTGCCTGGTGATCCCTGGGGGGCTGGCAGGGGCTGGCAAGGAGACAGATGTCTTTCCTCCTTTCCCCTGAGACCGCGGATCCAGGGCCGATGCTTTATGCCCAAGACCTAAGTCCGCAACTAACTGGAGCAGAGTCAGAGGGTCGCACATGTGCCGGGTGGCAGCACGTCTGCCTGAGGGCTTCAGAAGAGAGAGCAGGGCGGCTTCTGTTTGGCTACACTCTGCGCAGCCGCTTGCCTCAGGAGCGGGATGGACCCTCTCTAACCCCCAGGAAAGCCTGGTTCGCCTCGCTCCTCCGGATTGGGACCAATCCTTTGGACTAGGTCTGAAGACCCAGCTCCGGGGACATCCCAGGTGACGGTGGCCTCGGGACTAGGAACTTGGGGGTGGGGCAGGGACTTAGTAAGGCCTAGAGGAGGTCTGGATTACATAGTTGGTCCCTCCGGGTCAGGTTTGGGCCCCTTACCTGGACTCCTGAGCACAACTGGGACTCCCGCGTGGAACCTCGATGTGTCTCCAACCCGGAAGTGGCAAATTTCCGGCTCTTGGGCAGTAGCGTGGCTTTTGAAAAACGTCAGTTCCGGCTAATGAACGTGGGGCTCCTCCAAGGGCCACGCTTTAGGGGGAAATCCGAGGGCCGACATCAGGGCCGCATCTCTTGGGACCCTGTTCATTGGGACCCAGTTCTCCATGGATGCTACATGAGGGTCCCCACCTCAATCTCTATCTAAGCCTGGGGGTCCCATGTGCAGCCAGGAATCCAACTCAACTGTACTCTCCCTTCCTGGAGAACCAAGACCCGGGTTCAGGCCTCCGCAGCTGGGGGTTCCATGGGAGCGCCTGCTGTTTGCATTCTGAGCAGAGCCTCCCTGGGGGCTAGACCCTTTGAACCCATCCCAACACTCACCTTTTTCACTCGGTGCCTGGATTCACTCCACTTAGGGACGAGAAAAGCCCCTGTATGGAACTGGGGGACGCCCTTGGAGGAAACTGCGTTCTCTGGCATAAATGAAAGGGTACTTCAGCTGAGAGCTCTGCCTGCTTCCTCCTTGCTCTTTAATCAGAATCCTTTCATTGGGTGGCTCTGAGGCTAGAGAAGGGGTAACTGAAGCCCTGTTTTCTTAACAGTTATCCATTGTGCTGGGATCCACAAGGTCGGCAGTTTGAAACCACCTAATGGCTCCAAGGAATATAGATGTGTCTTTCAAATTTCATCAACAATTGCAGTCTCTGAAACTCACAGTGGTACAGTGAACTCTCATTTATCGCGGTTAATCCGTTCTAGACCCTACCATGATAAATGAAATTCCGCGAAGTAGGATTCCTTATTTGTAAATCAAATATTTTCGTAGTTAGAGCATAGAGGACATGAAAAAACACCCTTTAGTCACCATTACACTCGTATTACCCAATTTATTAAACGAAAAAGGGAAAATACAGTAAAACATTTTGGACGTTACAATTATCATTTATTATTTATTATATTATTTATGGCATCTAGTTTACAGTATTACATATTTCACATACAGTATTATTATACATAGTTCTTACAAATACTGCAATCAATAGCCTATGAAATGACTTAAGGGATGTACTCTACAGGTGGGTCGCCGTCGTTTTCCTCTGAAGGAGCGGGCGTAGGCAGTGGGTGCTGTTACGCAAAAACCGTGATAGAGTGAAGCCGCGGAAGTCGAAGCGCCAAGTGGCGAGGGTTCACTGTACTTCTAATGGGACACATATCGTCACTATGAGTCCTTAGTGACCCAAGGGCAGTGATATTTTATGTTTTCACTTTCCTTTTATTTAGTTCTAGTTCCGTTGATGCAGCTTCTCTCAAATGTCAGTCCTCACTTTGACTCCAGAGAAGTCAATCCCAGGGGAAGAAACAGGACTGCTCCATCCCCCACACCACCCCACTCCATTTCCCTGTTAGAACAAAGACGTTACCACTCAGGAACCCTACAAAAGGAAATAAAGGCAAACCTTAGGCTGACAGGAGCCTTGGTAGACTGTGGGTTAGGCAATGGCATAGTAACATCAAGACTGTGGTTCAAACCCACCAGCAACTCTTTCGATCAAAGAGGCTGTCTGATGTGGTGAAGATTTACATTCTCACAAAACCTATAAAGGGTTGTTATGAGTCGCTAATGACTGGATGAAGGGACAGATAGCCAACGATGCTGGGACAGCCCAAGACTGTGAACAGGGTTGGTGCTCTGTGAGGAGCCATTTGTCTTGCTTATCACTAAGAATAATACTGAGGGAGGATCTTCTTGTTGTCTTCTGCTTAGGGCCTAGTTATCCTCCCTCTGTGGTAAGCTTTGCATCCTGGAATCTGAGGAGCAAAGGAGGGGCCTGCTTAGCGTGGCAGCTCTCAGCTCTGTTCACAATTCCAGCAGGGTGGCAGTGTTGGAGGGATGGGAGAATTGATGAGGTGTTCACTGTTTGAGAGTGGATGATGGTATCATTTCTCTTTCAGTGCTCTGACCTTGACACCTGATTACTTTGGGGAATTTATCCTGTTCTTCCCGAGTAGAGTCCTCAGGAAGTATGCTCTGGAATCAGGGTGCCCTACATTTGTTCACAGTTCTTCAGGGCCTCAAAGGAATGACAGCAGTGATAAGTGTTTCTGGGACACACACTATTTTTCTGCCTTCTTTATGCCTCATTTAGGGTTATCACCTTGACATCTGACTATTTATGCAAATGGAAGACATGTTATATTGTTTTATTAAGCTGGGCTATGCCTTCACAGTATATTTCCTCCGGTGAGATGAAAGTGGTTTACAGATGCTCACTCTATGCCAAGGTGGATGGTTGCTATCAGCATCTGAGAATCCTATACCTGCTTACCAGTGGTTCCCCTCTTAGGCAAGTCCTTCACGTCACTAAGTGATCTGTTGGATAAAGGAGAGGACACTAGATTGAAAACCCTGCCAGGGATTTGTAGGTATAAAAGCCAGTGCAAATAGTCTTTCTGTGTACACCTTATGTTCTAGTATGCTGACCTTCCCAGTCCCCATGGAGAGACTTAGATTGGCTCCCATCTCTTAGGTAAATGACTTCCTGAGAAATTTGACATTCCTCCGACTCATGAGAAATTTCTCTACTGGCCTCGTTGCAGAGAATGGGTCCTTGTTCCACGTGTGATGGGACATGAACTGGAAAACCTGAGGCACATGACAAAATGCCCAGGACAGATGGTTGGCCTGTGCAAAAACACACAGTGGCTACAACAATGGCCTAAAACTTAACAATTCTCATGGGGATGATTAATACCTAGTATTGATTTCTTTTGTTGTGCGTTAGGTCCTGATAAGTCAGAACTAATTCCATGGCACCTATCATCATCAACAACAACAACAACATATAGAACTGAGTGCTCTCAGCCTGACATTCCTCACTGCCCTTGTGTGGTTCTTGTTTATAAGTGCCATTGAGTGGGTTTTATCTCACAGCATCCCTATGCTCAACAGAAGGAAGCAGTGATCATGCCTGAGTTGTATGTTGTAGCTACTGTGTCAAACCATTTCCTTGTGGGCCTTCCTCCACATTACCAAATATGCTGTCCCTCTCCAGGGACTGGTCTCTCCCGACAACCTTTCCAAAGTACATAAAGCAGAGTGTCACCAGCCTTGCCTCCAAGGAGCACTCTCTTCAATACTTCCTCCAAATCAGACTTGTTTGTCATTTTGGCATTATATGGAAAATTCAATGCTCTTCTCAAACATCACAACTCAAATATCTCACTGCTTCTAATTCTTCTATATTCAAAGTCCAACATTCACCTGCATGTGAGACAATGGAAAGTCACACACCTGGGGCCAAGGGCACCATAGTGTCTCTGTTAGTTACACAATGTGTTGTCAATTTGAGACTTATGAGTGAAGGGGTGGAGTTCAGCCTGTCAATCAGGTCGAAGCTGATGACTTCATTTGGAGGTGCTAAGGAGATAAATAGCTGTCTGGAGTCAGGACACCACTCACTCCCTGGGACATGTGGAGCTACACTAGAGCCCTTGAACCGAAGAAGCAACATGGAGACTCCTGCCAGTGCTGAGATGCTTCCATTGCCATTGGATCCACAAGACTTTCCACCCACTGGCCTGTGGACTTTCTGCATTCGGCATCATTGCATATATTGTGTGAGTCTGAAGAGGAATTTATAGACTTATGTGTTTATATTGGACTTATGGACTTGCACTGGAATGGGTTGCAATGCTTTCTTAATGTATAATAGCTCTTACACATATATTGTGTAACTTGCTCTTACACATATACATGTGTTTATGACTTATTACTCTAGGAAACACAGACTAAATGTGTTAGTCTGGGTGCATTCAGAGAAAAAAATCCACAGAAACTCATATGTATAAGACAGAGTTTTATATGAAGTGTAAGTGCACATCCCAACCCAATGCTGCCCCAAACCACAAGTCCAACATTAGCCCATATGTCTGATACCAATCCACAAAGTCCTCTTCCATCTCACAAAACA